ACGCAAGGCATTATGGGGATGTGAAAGTAGAGAATACAATAAATGCGTACTAACAATTCTTCGGTTTTAGCTTTGTCAGCGATAATTCTTCAGCCACCATTCTTATATCCGGATGAACGCCTTAGGTACGTATTGGCGTACGATGACTAAATATTAATTCCAATACATTAGCATTACTATTTATAAAGTGTCGCATATAACAATGCGATTGGGTCTAAGACTGGTTAACATCGCCAGGGTTCGAAATTTTAAAAACAAATTCTAAAGACCTGTTTTACCCTCTGGTAAAAAACTCAACATGTGTACCTATTCATTAGTCCTCGCGCATCTGTTAATAACTTCACTCCTGGTTTCTATGGAGACTTTTTGAATCTCAATAGAGTTTTCCGATTTAGCGGCTTCGGCACTAATAGTACCACACATTAACTAGCACAAATGTAAGTAGCCTCAGCAATTGCAAGTGGAATTGAGTTTACTCACTAAACGTGAAACGTCAACTGAAAATTTGTGAAAAGCAGAGTCGCAAAAATCTCCAAGTGGTAGATAAACAAATAATATTTGTCTTTAGTGGTGATAAGGGAAAATATAAACGCGGTCATGTTTGCCTTTTATTTCTCAATTTTGCCGTTTATTTTTGTTATAGCCCTCATTATAAATGCGAGGTCAATATATAGTTATTAACCCGGTTAATAACTATATATAGACCGTTCGCATTTATAATCAGCAACATTTGATAGAAAACCTTCTCAATTGATAAATAAAATACTTAATTACCTCGAACGTCGGCAATAAGCCTATCCATCCCTCGGGATGTATATGGCTTATTGCCTCCGTTCTCGGTAATTAACTCTAACTTACAAAAGTCTAAAGCGGGACTATAATATTTTCTAAAAAACGTTTTTCCAGTTTAGTTCAACACCGCATGTCACGTGAGAGCTCTTCCACATCAGATAATTGCAGATATGAATAAATGCACCCTAATACTTTTTATATATAATTGAAGGTCAGTTAACCTAGGAAGCCTTGGCTCAGTTATTGGACATGAGATAATCCATGGTTTTGATAACAAAGGTAAGTTGGTCTGCGCTTTTAAGAGAACTAAAGAACATAGAAGATGTCAAAAAGTGACAAAAAATCGCTTAGCAGATTTAGAAATGTGCTTTTGTACTTTGTAAAAAAATGCCATGCAGCAATTAGTAAAAGTTTAAAACCCATATGCAAAGAGTAATCGATGAAAACGTTTTTTCTAAGCAGATCAAGTTTAAGGTTGGTGCCTGCTAATTGCGAACCATATTTTATTTATTTTTAATTGTGTCAGTATTTAACAACAACCAAGACGTCAAACTAGCTAAATCTAAATGTATCCCGACCAGAAAATAAGCAACTTATGTCCCAGTCAGCAATTGACTAGAATGGTGAAAATAAACACGTGATCATAACGAGAAAAACGCTGGTGGCGTGATATTTTGCACCAATCACAAACAACAAAGCGTGTGCAGATACTTTGCTGGAATTTTCAGTACAAATGGCGCTCGAAGCGAAAAAACAGAAATTTTCCAGTGTTTCTTCAAAGAAATTTCAGCCTTTCATTGAAGAAAAAGATTCGGAAAAGACGACAAAACTAGGGGAGTATATGAGTTGTATTCGTAACGTCATTTGTCAGTCTTTCATGCCCCTTGCTAGATAAAACTCTTATTCCGTAAACTGATATTTTTCAATTACTATATGACAATACGCTCTGGCTACCTGCGCAGCAATATAGTTTGCTGCTATCGTGCAGGATGGAAGAGGATGACACCCGATTTGGATGTGGACTGTAGGAGCTCCACTGCCATGTTGTCGCACACAGATCTACCCCCTAGTGGTGTATGAAAAATACTAGATAGCCTTTTTCCAGCTGAAAAAGTCTTGTTGAAAATCAATCTAAAGTACATCTAAAGCACCGGCCCTTGACGACATCGGCAACTGGATCCTTAAAGAGTATGCTTAAATCCTTTCACCTCCCATCACGCACCTACTCAACACTTCCTATAAAGAACAGAATCTGCCCCAGCTATGGAAACAGTCCAACATTACACCCATCCCAAAGAGAAACCAGTCAAAGATATCAGCAAGCACTTAAGACCAATCTCGCTCACTCCGGCATTGGCTAAACTTGCAAAAGACTTTGAAAAATTATTGAAAAACATATCGCCCCAGCAGTGCTTAAGATAATCAACCTTTGCCAGTTTGGCGGTATCCTCGATGCCCCGCAACCCAAGCGCCAATCTCAATGGTGAGATTGGGCCAAGGCCACCGACGGAACTGGAAGTGCCGTAAGAGTAGTCTTATTTGACTCCCAAAAGACTTTTGACCTTATTGACCATCGTATGCTAGCTGAAAAGGTCATTCATTTATCCGTGTCTCTCTTTGTCAAGCGCTGGGTGATCGACTTTCTTATGCACAGACAACGAATGAAAATGGGTAAAGACTATATGAATGGGCCGATGTCCCATCCGGCGTCCAAGCTGCGTCGGTGGTTGTTCCTTCAGGTGATAAATTATATTTTTCTACCCGACGTCAAATGTTGGAAATATGATGATGACACCACTATATCTGAAATCATTCAAAGGGATTCCCCTTCTAACATCCAAGATGCCAACGTCCAGAACTGGTCAACTACGAACAATTTACAGCTCAATGTTGCTAAGTGTAAGGAGCTTACCATCTGTTTCACAAAAACTGAGAAAAGCTCTCCAAGTTCAAACATTGACTCTGGTCAGCTTGAAGTGGTTAACAGCGCTAGAATATTAGGTCTTACTATAAGTAACGGCCTGAAGTGGAACGAACATGTGACTAACATCATTAAGAATGCTAACAAACGTCTGTATTTTATTGTCTAGCTGATATGTGCTAAAGTTCCAGCAGTAGACATTTTCATCTTCTACGTCACCTGCATAACACCTGTTTTGGAATATAGCTGTCAGGTTTTTCCACGTTGCGCTTCCAAGTTATTTATCAGATGCCAACGAACGTGTTCAGAAGTGCGTTATGACCTTGGTGGCATTACAAAACTAAGCGAAAGACGCTCAGAAGCATGTGCTAAACTATTCAACGATATGATTGCAACTCCTGGTCACAACCCTCCAAACCTTCTACCTTCAAGACACATTCCACGCTATAATCTACGAAGGCCACGTGACTTTGCTCTCCAAAGAATAAAAACTTGTAGATTTAAAAACACTTTTATTCCTTCATCAATTGAAATTCCTTTAAACAAGTCTTATATAGTATACATGTATAGATATTCGTATTATAGTTTGTATTTTCATATATAGTTAGCAATTATTCGCCGAAGGCGAAGTGATTATCGGGGAATATTTACCGTGATGTGAGTCTTCGAGCAGCGAGGTAAATATTCTCCATATTCACTGAGCATGAGGCGTATAATTGTTTTAGTATATACCAACTTGTGTACAGAGTAATTTTTTTTCATATACAATAATTCAAAAAACAAACAAACAAACAAAAAAAACAGAAACTTTTAGTTTGCGTGACAAATTCACGCAAAACTTTTAGCAAAACTTTTAGGCCATACTTCGTTGCCTTTTTAGTATTGATAGGAATGGCATTTACTTTCATTTTTTAGATTTCGTCATCGGAAATTGTAGCAAAACTATTGCCGGCAGATGCCATTTTGTTTGCCGACTCAATATTCTGAGATTCAGAGGTGAATATCGTACGATATTCACCTCCAATTATTCAATGAGGGCGCTCGTTCTTAGGAAGTACACAAGTTGGTATATGCTAATACACAATATTCAGCTTTAAGTGAATGGACCGAAAGAGACTACGAGTATTCATCACTAAAGCAGTAAGTTAAAAAGGTTTTCCTTAAAATGAAGTCCATTATCCCTTTGAGAATAGGTAACAAAAAATTGAACGGCTCTCCCCTAACCACTACCACACACACCCATTGCTGTAAAAAGAATATACAGTACAGTACAATACAATAACTTTATTAGGTTCCCAATATGGGATCTTCATACCTAATTTACAATTACATTATAATTAAATTACAAAAATACATGAATAAAGAAAAAAATTATATATATGTATGTATA